TGGCTACGGCCCTGCTTCAAGTCCCTTATCTTTGAGTATAGGCAAAATGTACTAAGAACAATTTATTTTCCTATCCTAGCTCTACATACTGTTGAAAAAGTCAATGATTGAAAATAGTCAATAGGTAGTTAGCCAACTATTTTCGATAATATTAGGATTTTGCTTTTACTGATATTAGTTTCAACTAATTAGTGTAATTGGGCTTTCCTGTCGATAGATAAATATTTCCACTCGCTACAAATAAATTGGAATAATAGGAACAAATTGTCCCTAAAAACATGTTTTGATATTTTTGAAAAAAAAAATCTAATTTAGCAAGTGGCTCGACAAAATATTCGATACTATATGAATTGGTGTTTTCTTCTGGTTTATCAATATTATTTAGGATACTCACCAAATATTTATCAGTTAGTTTTGGAAAATTGCTATGTAGGAATATTTTTATTTGGTTGATTAAATAAAAATGAACCACAATAATAGTCGGTCGACATATTGTGCATTTTGTAAGTCGGTTTATTAGGTAGCATACTTTTTTCTTCAGACCGAAACTACTGAGAGTCTCCAATTTTGTTTCGGAATCTCAAAGCTCTATAGTTTTGTTATTGTTTTCATAACCCTTCTCTATCGTTCTGGTTTGAAAAAGTAATTCAACTAATATTTTTTAACCTCGTTAATTATCCTTGCATTTCCCCAAAATTCAACCTTCCAATTATGTATTGAATTTTGCCAGTCAGCCTGAGCTTCAAATTGTTAACAACCAAAGATGAAAGGAAATTCCGAGAGCTTATTACCGATAATTCCATAAAAGGCTAATTGTTTATAATTCCACGAGTTCCAAGAACTAGCGGAATCTGTACAACAAGTTTAATTGGAAATCTAGTCAATTTTGAGCACCGGCGATATTTAGAGAGAATAATATTTCGTAAATCCATTGAATGATAAATGTAAAACAAAATGATTTATCTGAGAAAGACAAAAAACTGCAGTCTTAATAATTGCTGAAGGAGGCATCTGTTGAGGCTCATTTTACGATCGATTGTCATCCTCAAATTTTGATTTGGTCGTCTGAGAATGGCGGTACAAAACTCTCGTCCCTATAAAATACAACTTTATGAGGATGTGGACAAAATGAAATTTTTGCTTGAGTTATAAGGACGCAGAAATTAATTACATAATGTGCCCCCTTAAAAAAAAAATGTTATGCTGAACACAGACGTCATCAAAACGACCGATTTCCAGAATATTTTAAATTACAGGAAAAAACCGAGTTTGTTGATTGCCTTTAGTAAAGCAGATATTGTTGACGTAGGTATTTCAGATTTGAAGCATCTAGCGTTACTGGCTTTTACTCGAGAGGTGACATAATTCATCCGCTCAATAGTAAGGAGGAAAAGGCTTAAAGAGATTGAATTAGTATTTTTCTTAAACGGAACAAAGAGCATTCTTTCCGAACTTCTGGAAAGACTTCCATTTATATCTTTATTAATTTTTTATAGAAATTTCCGTCAATTCTCGATCATCTCCTGATGTGCTAGTTTATGTATTCAACGTTGAATTCCATTCTCGAAAATTCTAGGATTTATTGGCTACCCCTCCCAAGCAACAATTTAACGTTGCGGCGACGTGTTTGAAATAGTTGCGCAACCAAATAGAAGTTGCGTAAACGACCTTGTTACAACGTTGTCACAACCTTGTTTTGCACCAATTTGGTCAATCATTTCCGGGTTTTTGAAACGTTTCAGTTTCAACTGTAGGTAGCAGTTGGTCGTTTTTTAAACGTTGCTAAATTTACTTATAAATTACACACCTGCGCCCTCTCTCATGGCGATGAGAGTTTACTTTTTGTTGTGTTTAGGAAATGGTAAATTTTTCAACCAAATATTCACTGATGGTCAAAATGGACACTTTCTTTAAACTTACTACTGTATCTTCATGTGTTATTCTTATGCTTCAAATACTTTATTTATATTGCCGAAAAAAGACGATATACAAACAGAAATCAGCAACGCATATCACTTTACTGATAAATGTACTATGGATTTATGCCAAAAAACACGCGCGCCTCCAATCCTTTGCAAATTTCTCAGAACTCAAAAATAAAAATAAAAATTGAAAAAAAAAATAGATAACCAATATTTGAAGTTGATACCGCTTCAAACGCGAGCTAAACGGGGGCATATGATTAGTTCCTAGAAAACTAAAAAAAGCTATACAATCCTTTATTTACACCTGTTAATGCACCAAATGTCAATGTCCGGGTCCATGTTTCCAAACAGAATACACTTTCAACATGGCGTAGGAGTATAATAGGCGTCAACGCTACTTTAGATATCAGATAACTAAAAAATATACTAACTTTTAACGTTAGTCTACCAGAAAACTAACTTTTTCCCGAGGCGAGACTGGAGTTGCTTATCGGACCAAAAACTAAACTGAGTTTAACTTACGAACACTCCAAAATACATAATTTTCAATCGCGCCTACGTGCCTCTCCGTGCAGTTCAGTTGACGTATTATTATTATTTCTTTCTCTAGTCTAGTCTACATTGATCTCTTCTTCATTATTGAGTTATTTCCTTGGTTGGAACGAGTTATTTATCCTGCATCAACTATTCGTTCTCTGGAAAATTAGTTGCTTCCCCTACTAATATTACTTCTTCATTCAGATGCGCCCTCGGGTTGGCATTATTTGTTCCTGAAGAATTTAAACGTAAGTTCTCGGATCTGACTGCCTTCATGTAGGCTTGTGCCCCTGAATTTTCTTCATGACATACTTTTTTTTTGTCAATATGAGGCAGTTTAAGGTGACTCCGCGGAAACGTTTTCAGTTCAACTGAAAAACATTCCTACTGCTTAGTTAAATCTCACAAGGTCGGATCTCCGTCGAGAAAACGTTTAACATAACTTAAGTTGTTACCTGAACGTTGTCAGAACGTTATTCCCATTCCCAAAATATTAACTTATTGTAGTCGGTTGCGTAAACGTAGTCACAACGTCGTAGTTTAACTAGAGTCCTGCGCAACACTAAGACGACGTTGTCCAGTGGTTTAGAGAGCGTCGTTTCTTAAATGCCTAAACTCTACACTAAGTACAACGTTAATTTTGGTGTATTATGTGGTTATCGTCGTCAAAATGCTACTTGGGCTGTTATTGAGGCTTGAGATGTAGATATTTGGGAGTTCAACCCTGGGGCCTGGGGGACCCTTCGTGCAGTGTTGCGAGATTGTACACAATTTCTCCTACTCCTCCAGAAAATATTTACCGCATAACCAAGTATTAAACTCGAATCGTGGGCCTGACGTGCCCAAACCCATATCCTAATAAGTAAAATATGGATAACTGATACCACACCTGCCGAACTTAGAGCTGCCCCCATAGTTGTCATTTTCAAAAAAAGAGACAAGGCTCAATGTGGAAATTACAGGGGAATATTTTTTTATTGCCGGAAAGATACTTGCCAGGATATTATCAAATCGTCTTATCCCAACAAAACCTTTTAGAAACACAGTGTGGCTTTAGACCCAACCGAGGTACAGCTGACATGATTTTCAGTGTAAGACAAATGCAAGAGAAAAGAATCGACCTCTATATACGGTTTTCACAGATTTAGTGAAAGCATTTGATTCGGTCAACAGATAAGCTCTTTGGAAGATATCGGCAAAGGTTGGGTGTCCGCAAAATTACATCCAGATACTCCGTCTGCTGCATGATAATATGAATGCAACTGTCCTAATTAAGCAACGATGGAAAAGAAGCGTCTTTCCGAATAACTACAGGCGTTAAGCAGGGCTGTTTTATTTCACCCATTTTATTTTCTCTATTTATAGAATCCATACTTCACCTTATCGATATGGTCACCTGCTGTTAGGAGTGGAAATCCCTAAACAGATTACGAGGCAATATGAACTACTCTGGATTCACTGGAAAATGCTACAGTGACAGCCAAGAGCTGATAATAATCAAAATATGGACTATTATCGGCACTTGATTGCTGCTACAGCAATTTTCCAGAGAATAGTTCAAACATTTTCCTAGTGAGTCAAGATCCAAAGAAAATCATAATTTGGATTATTAGCGGCTCTTGATTGCCGGAGCAATTTTCCAATGAATCGGGAGCCAATAATTTGGACTATTATTGGTTCTTCATTACTCTTAGAGCAATTTTCCAGTGAATGGAGAACTGGTAAAAATCCCAGCTTTTGAAATTTCCCAGCGAATCGAGTGCCAGTAATAGTTCATATCCTGAATATTGATGACTCTGAATTCATTAGAAAAATGGCACAGTGACGGCCAAGATCTGATAATAATCAGAATATGGACTATTATCGGCTCTTGATTTCTACTAGAGCAATTTTCCAGCGAATAGTACAAACATTGTTCCAGTGAATCAAGATCCAGGAAAAATAATAATTTGGAATATTACCAACTCTTATTTTCCAATGAACCGAGAACCAGTAGTTTGGACTATTATTGGTTCTTGATTATTCCTAGAGCAATTTTCCAGTGAATGCAGAACTGGTGATAGTTGATAGTCCCAACTTTTGAAATTCGATGACTATATTTTGCCTCAAAATTTTCAACTTTGTAACATATGTTTCGGACACTACAAATCAACTGCGAAATGAGCTACAAAGTCGCCTAATGTTCAAGACCATAAAACTATATTTCTCTGGCCCTATGTTTATTTACAGCAATAAAACACTAGGCTAGCTGGAACATCAAAGTCATTTTTATACGAAATCATAAAAGTTTACTGCAATGTCCAAGGGACGACCTGAAAGTAAAAATTTGCTCGATATTTATTTGGAACAAAATGTAATGTTTTGCAGCATTCGAAAGTCGTACATCAGAAATTCAATTCAAAGATTCGTTTGATATCAAAAGAGTCATTCATGTAAACATTGTTATTTGCCCACTATCACAAACAATTTCGCTATCAAGAATGGAATGTTAACTTCTGCTTGTGGACTATATAAACATTAATAATAATAATGCAGACCAGTCACGGGATAATCACTTTGCAGCTAACAAAGTCTGGCAATATAGGTCTAAAAAAATAAATGCGCATTAAGAGCAAGCTAGTTGGAGCTATCGGAGCACGCATGCACACGGGCTCACCAAAAAATTTGAGAACTACTTATAGAAAAAAAGCTGTGAATTATTACGTCTCAGGGAGGTGAAAATTAAAGTAGGACAAGTTTTGTCACGGTAAGTACCAACTTGAAACGTTTTTATTAAGCTTTTGTCACCATAAATATTAGGTTAATTGAAGCCGTTATTATTATGTTTATTGTTGTTGCTTTGGTGGAAAAAATATTGGAGCCTAAAAAAAAAATTGGTAAATAATAATGACTTTTGAACATGGACAACATTGTAAGTAGTAGAGATAACCTTTTGCAGTAATTGTTTGTGTTTGTATGCAATTCTGATACATATTCAATATTATTTTCATCCTTTTAAGCTGCATTAAATCACATCCTTCAAACCTTAATATTAGTTCAATTTGAGATGACTCAAATCTTAAATCTTTAATCGCTAGACCGGTCCCCTTTTCTTCTAGTTATAGTACCCATAGCTGACATCAAGAGGTCGAAGTACTTGTTAAAACTTAGACTGCTTTAAGCCGGTCTAGCATTATTAAATCTAACTCTAATCTATCCAAACATTATCTTATTACAGAATAATCAATATTAGGAAATTTCTCCTCTAATTACAAAATCAACAAAAATATTTGGTTTGCTGATAGAAATAGGAATTATGACAGGGTTGTTCAAATGGCATGCACAAAATTACATGGAACAAATTATGTGACTAATGAGAAGATATTTTTCAATAATATTGCATTTTTGAATTTTCGAAATGTTCATAGTTGACATACTTTTTAACGCTGTAAAATATAATTTCCATTCTAATATTTTTCGATTTCCGATCAAGATTTTCTCGGCTCGCCTTTTCAGTTTAACTGGAAATTTCTTATCAACTGAAACCTATCATGTTAAACCTCCTGCAAAAATTTGGATTACTAAAAATCGAATCGGTAAGAATTTGGCCATCTGTTTTGTTATATTCACCTTTCCATGTCAAAGGGTTTTATCTGAGCTAAGAAATTATTAATTTATTGAGGAACGTTTAAATGAATTATTACTTGGGGATGATTTAATTTAAATCTTCCATCTAGAAGGACCATTTTGATATGAATTGATACATTTTGAACCTGTAATTTCTGAGGCAAACTTACCAGATATAGTATTTTTTTATGAATGGATTCATTGACTTTATTTATGAAAAATACTGTATAAGGCCTATTTCTGGTGTCAGCAAGATTCTCCAGAATTGAATCAGAACCTAATCTTTCACAAAAATTTGTTTCCTCAACCAAATTGGAGTGGTACAACAATTGGATGGAGCCGATTTCGTAGCGAGGCCTAATTTTTCTGTATTATTTCATAGAGCTTTTAAAAAAACACGTCTTATATCCTCCAGATTTTGCTTATTGATATTCCTTATTGGCTAGCGAATAAATCTTGAGTAGATTATGTCGTTTTTCGATATGAGGGACACGAAGTTTTACAAGAATAATTCAAAAATGCAATAAGACCCAGAGTGTTCCACAAAAAATAGTTAAAAAAAAAATACCGAATTATACAGGGTGTACGCATGGGGATCTCGGTAACCATACGGGATACAGGGTTGGTTAAATTGGAGCAAAAGCTACACAATTTCTCACTTACTAAAATACGGTTTCGAAATTTGGAAAGTTCCGAATACTTCCGGAGATATTTGGAAAAAAACGAAATTTTGCAAAATAGGTTTTATTTCTTTCTGAACTTATGACACTTTATCATTGCCACTTTTTCTCCTCTACAATATGGCATTATCAAATTTAAAATCGAACGTTTCGTCTTTGGGCCACCTTTTCTTAACCTTTTCAGAAAAAAATTAGATTCAATTTTTGGATTTTCAGCAAAAGATGCCAGTGGAAACCCAGTCATTCCGATTGAGTTGATACAGAGTGCTATTTTAGAGACCAATCAAGTCAACTATAGAAGTTGGGCGCGTTTACCATCAGAACATTAAAATCACATGAAAATGAAAAAAATATGTACTATTTTTCAAACTTTCACTGATTATAATAGTTGAAAACAATAATTTGCTTATATTTTTTAAAAAAAAGTTTAAATTTTCGAATTTTTGGTTAATTGAAAATTTTCAAGTTTGCGGCTCAATTCCTCAGAAAGTATTGGAGCTATCAAACTCAGCACGGATTTATAGAGAATTTAATGTTCTTTTCACTGGTGTATAATTTATTCTGATTTGCTCAAATTTTATTGGAAATATTGGCAATTTTTCTTAACCTTTTAAAAAATTGAGATTTTCTTTTTTGATTTTTGTTCCGTTCAAAATAATAATTTGAAGATGATGTTAGATTGTGTTTTGACCAATTTAGACACGCCCTTTTCGATTGGAGAAGTCAAAATTCGGAAAATATAAAAAATAAAAATTTCGATTTTTTTCAGAGAACCTATCTTCCCCTGTGGATTCTTCTTTCAAAATCTTTGCGCTTCATTATTTTGAAATCCGTGAGAGATATTAAATCAAAATTTTTAGGAATTGTAGCTCCTATTAAGCTGTAAAAAACCTGTATTGGAAAATATTTTCAGATTTATAGTTTTTGACGAAATTGAGGTGGAAGTTTTTGACTAAATTTCGATTAAAATATTCAACTTTAAAGCCTAATGCTCAAAAAGTGTTCAAGCTATCAAACTCAATTTAGCGCATGTTTATAGAGAATTTAATACTCTTTCTAATGGTGTATAAAATATATTTTGATTTGTTCAAACTTTAATGGGAATATTGGCAATTTTTCATATCAAATTCATAACCAAAAAATGAAATTTGCTTTTTGATTTTTTTTTTCTTTAAATTGGTCATTCGACTAACTCAGACCCGCTCTATCGATTAGAGAAGTCAAAATTTGGAAAATATAAAAAAATAAATAAATTATATATCATTGGAAATAGCAATAAATTCTCTATAAATTTGTGCAAAATTGAGTTTGATAGCTCAAATAGCCTTCGAGCAATTGAGCCTCAAAGTTGACTTTTAGTCCATTTTGTGAAAAACTTCAAACTCAATTTGCTCCAAAACTATGAATCTGGAAATATTATAAATTACAGGCCATTTAGAACTTAATAAAACCTACAAATTCTGAACATTTTAATGCAATTTGCCTGCCTAATGGTTACCGAGCAATTGAGGTTTCAATACTTTGAAATCAGAATTCCAAGGGGCTACCCTTATGAAAAACTGGATTTTTTTATTTTTTAGGTTTGCTCAATTATGACTTAACTAATCGATACAGCGGGTCAAAATAAGTGGAAAACAACCCTGACTTCAATTCCAGATGGCCATTTTAAGCAGGAACAAAAATAAAAAGAAAATACTATTTTTGACTCTGGAAAATTTTCAAAATCTTGACATGGTCATGAACAATTGCCCATATCTCTGGTAAATTTTTAGCAAATTGAAATAAATTATACACCATTGGAAAGAGCATTAAATTCTCTATATATCTGTGTAAAATTAAGTTTGATAGCTCAAATAGTTTTTGAGCAATTGAGCCTCAATCTCAATTTTTAAATATACTGCCCTTTTGCCTGTTCTGATTTTTGGGATTTTGAATTAATATTATAAAACCTTCATTCTGTGCAAGTTTCAGCTTGTAACCCCAACGCGCCTACAAAACTCATTTTTAGAAGGCTTTAACTGCGTTGGGCACTCTACAGATTTTCATTTGAAAGACTTTTTAAGAAAACAAAATATGTTTGACATAGATGAGCTATCCACAAAAATTAACATCCTTTTTTTACTGAAATGTTCATTTTATCGATTGTTTTGATAAATCATTCCATTGAGGATGTCAAAAAGTGACAGAAAACTAAAAAAAAATCCAGAGCCGCCGTGTATTTGAAAAGATGAAATTGATATAGGCGGCCCAAAACGAAACGTCGGATTTCACGTTTGGTAATGCCATATTGTAGAGGAGAAAAAGTGACAATGATGAGGTGCCATTTACCTATTTTGAAGTGTCTCTTCACATAGGTAAGCTCAAGAAAAAAATAAAAACGATTTTGCAAAGTTTTGGTTTTTTCCGAATATCTCCAGTAGTATTCGGAATTTTCCAAATTTTTGTGAGCAAGAAATTGTATAATTTTGCCCCATTTTAGCCGACCCTGTATTTCATATGGTTACCCAGATTCCCATACTTACTCGCGGATTCCTAACACCCTGTATACGAGCATGACCCTAAAGTAACCTTGTGAAAATTCCAAATAAGTGGCTTTATACCTAATGTATATAATCCACGAATATCTAATAATAATTTTTGTTACTTCACGCATCATCAACAATAATTCCAGACAGGAAATGTTCATAAAATTTTTAATTTTTATGTGCGAATTATCTTTCACACAATGATAATATTAAATAACATTAATTTTTTATAAAATTCGTAGTTTTTTCATGATAATCCACATCCTTTCCATATGTAGTTCAGAAATTATATTTCAGATTTATTAGTTTTAATTCAGTATATGGCAAACTGCTTAGCGTAAGACTTTTCTCTTTGGATAAACTGTTTTTCTAATAAAATTTCTGGATTCTGTAAAAAACAAAATACTTTAGATTACTATTTTGAATGTTTTCAAAAATACAGGCCCTGTTCAGTACTCATTGAAACACCCTGAACACTTGATTCAATTTGGGCCATACTGTACATTTGACTGAGCTACATATGAAAAAGCTGTAGTTGAACCCACTCTCTGTAAAGATTTTTTAAAATTATTAACTGATGCAGTAAAATAATATTTAAATATTTCAAATTTTAGCACCATCAAAAGATGTCAAACACATCACTGAATGCCAATGGATCCTCGCCATTCTCCCCGTTTCAAGATCCATCGGAGAGCGTTTTCGAAACAGAAACAAAAATCGACTTTTTTTCCTACTTCTTCATCACCTTCGAGCTTTTGAAATTTTTACTATGCGTTAATTGTTTCGCTAGCGACATCTATTTGATAGTGATAATATCCAAGTTCAAAAAACTAAGAACTAGATTAAATAACTTATTTTTAATTTATGCTATTTGTAACTTATTGTATCTTACTCTTGCCAATGTAATAATGATCATCGTAGAAGTTAGTTCTCACTTACACGACGTGAATCACTATTGTGTCATAAGTAATTTGGATCATTTAATGTTTACTTTAAGTTTTTATACACTTACATTTATGGCTATTGATTGGTATGTTTTAAATTATCATCCAGACATTTACACTAAATATCCAAGAACTTTCAAATATGGCATCGGAGTGGCGTTCGTTGTTTTGGCTATTCCAAAATGGATAGCAACTTCGTGTATGTGTTACGAAGACCGTTTTAAGTTGTACGCTTTACGCTTATACCTTGAAGACATTTCTTTCGCATTTGGAGGAATTGTTTTAATAACCATTTCAATTTTAAAGAGAATACGAACTCCTGTTTCGGATACTCATAAAACAGAATACGCATTTTCGATACCGAAAATAATATTTTTATTATCGCTTCCAGTTTTTATAATGCGGCTTATAAGCTTGTGCTTAGAAGGCTACTATCCCCTTTTGAAATATTTATATCTTCTCGAATATATCACAGAGTGTTTGTTTTTAACGCAAACTATTGCTTTATTGTACTTACTAGGGAAACGAAATAAATATTTCAAAATGGCCTACCTTAAATGTTGCAAGAAAAACGTACAAGAGTACGGAGACGACGATTTGGATTCTGGTTCTATTAATGAAACTGGAGAGAATCACGTTACGTATGATAATAATTCTCAATTGATTCGGTTTTGAATTTGTGCAATCGATTCGAATTAACTGAACCTGCAGATCCCATATTAACTCTATTGAAAATAAAAACCAGGGGAGCTTTTTTGGGCTCGGATGTCTATTCGATTACAGACATTTTGGGAAAGACTGAGCCATCAATGATTGTTAAATAATATTGTAGATACCTAGATGTAGAAAAAAATATAATTTTATATTAAGTTATTATAGGTGTTTTATTTTTTATGTGTTTGTTTTTAGTTTGCTATCCGATGATTGATGGTAAAGGATGATTGTCGGTCTGAAGAAACAGAACTATTTATTATCCTTCTTCTCATCCACTAAAATTTTCTCTTGACTTTTGCTTTCTGAAACCAGTTCTGTTTTTTATTCTCTCATCAACCCATCTGGTTTTCACGACTTCTGTTTGTTCCACACGAACCCCATTTCAGTAAAATTCCTATATTTTGGCATAGGAACGTGTAAATGATCCTCAATTCCTGTACCGTTTATTCTGGGCATTTGATATTGGTTTTCTATCAATCTTGTTTTTATTATTTTTAATTTTGAATAGAGTTCCTCCATTAATTCTCATTGGAAGGGTCATTTTCAGGAACTACTTAACAGAAAATCACAATTTAATAATGACATATTCAACGAAATTCCACAGAAACCAATACAGAAAGAACTGAGCGAGGTTCCCAGATTAGAGGAGGTTAAAAAGGCAATCAGATAAATGTCTATCGCGTTCCGTATTTCCTATATTTCTAATGGTTGTATTTCTTCTGAACCTGTATTTGTTACCTGTCTTCTACTTATTGTGGCTGGTCTGCCAGTATTCGTTTCTCCTCAATCTCTCTTTGCAAGCCTGTATTTCGTTTTCTGTATTCTGGCGTTCCTCTTCTATCCATGTCTTTTTGATGAGCTACATTTTATTTTTGATTCTGCCACGTCTATTTTCTGTTCTCTTTCATCTTAGAGAAAATGTTCATAATATACAAGGAATGACTTTCAGTGAAACTAATCCGTCTGTCATTAATTTTTATAATACCTACTTTGTTATGTTTATATTTCCTTATCTTTTTCCAGTTTCAGTGCTTTGCCCAATAAGATCAAAAATTAATATCTAATAAACTTCAAAAGATAAAAATAATGCAGTTTTCAATCCACAAGTATGAAAGTTTCACTTGTAAATTTAAACTTTCCTCAAAATATCATTTTAAATAACTGATTGCATCTTATAAAAGTCAAAAAAGCCACAAAAACCATTTTTACGAGATCTCATTTGTTCGCAGGAACCATTCAAGCGAGGTTTACTAGACGTTTTTAAAGTTAGAGACAAAGTTTATGGTACAAATATAAATTATTGACACGCGATCGACGTTTCTTCTTCAGTAGAGACGACAAGGGACGACGACAAATAAAAGCAAATGTTCGATGAAAATGAACGGGGCAGGAATAAAGTTTATAACTCTCTGCGAGCCGAGGCACTTTTCGTGTTTTCCTAGACTTTCAGGGAGGGCGAATGTGTCATTCACCTGCCGTAAAACCTTTTCATCAAGGAGAATAACGGTTATTTATAGTCAATCACTGGCTTTTCGAATCTTGAATAAAATAGCTTTGGTTTTATTTAATTTATTCAAAGTATTCGTTGGAAATGAGGCTTTGAAAGAGAACGTTTTATTGGGATAAGGATAGACATAGAATCAACTCAGAAGAAATATAGGTATGTTAAGTAACTTTGAGAGAATACTAAAAAATATTTAACCATGAAACAAGAATATATTATTGTTCCACATCACATACCAATTAATAATATAATAGGTAATTAATATACTGTGGCGCGTTCGTCAGCATGTACAGAATTTAACTTGAAATCTAGAAAATACTGCTTTATTCGGGCAAAAATATTATCGTGTTTATATATTCTGTATTCTATACGAATAGATTACGGATATACAGGGTGTCCCATCGGAAACCAAATGGATCTATACATGAAAAACTGTTTGCAGAAAATTTTTGAAAATTTGACAGTAGGTATACTAATGTCAACAGGGCAACCTGGCTAAAATATTTTCAAGATGGTGGCACTTCTGGTTATATCGGAAGTAGACGTCAACTTGCTTATTTTAAATAAGACACCCTGTATGTGATTGCATATTTGGAATCTACATAAAATTCTGACAGATTTTATGTGATATACCCTATACCTAATTTCAACTGTTTTGGAAAAATTGACAGTTGAAAATTGACTTTTTTGCAACTTTGACAGGCTGTAAATCCTAAACGGTTAATTTTAGAGAAAAACCGACTTTACATTTTTGTCTTAGATTTCTATAAACTAGGTACCTATCATTTGATACCAACTTTGAATTTAATCCATGATTAAAAATTCCAGTTAAATTTAATCTCCGGAAAATTCAAAGCTGGTGTCAAATGATAGTTTATGAAACATCTAAGATAGGAATGTAAAATCGGGTTTTCTCTAAAATTAACCATTTAGGTTTTACAGTCTATCAAATTTGCAAATAGCCAATTTTTAACTGTCAATATTTCCAAAACAGTTGAAATTAGGTATAGGGTACATCACATGAAATCTGCTCAGAATTTTAGGTAGAATCAAAATATGCAATCACATACAGGGTGTCTCATTTAGAATAAGCAAGTTGACGTCTACTTCCGGTATTACCGGAAGAACCACCATCTTGAAAATATTTTAGCCGGGTTGCCTCCATTGACATTAGTATACTGTCAAATTTTCAAAAAATTTCTGCACATTCAGTTTTCCATATATAGATCGATTTGGTTCCCCGGTGGGACACCCTGTATAAAGGCCGGTATTAGTTAGTAGTTTTAAGTTTAAGTTTGAATGTGATATGATTTAGATAGTGAATTTTGTAAGAGTTGTAAAGAATTTAGTTGTATGAGTTAATTAGTGAAGTAATTAGTGTCAGAGTGTATAGTAACGTGGAATAAATTATTGTTGTGTTAATTGGACTTTGATTTTGGAATAAACGGACGCAAGATTGCTGTCACGCAAGCCAGAGGCGTGACAATACTATACCTACGTTATACGTGGTGGTCTAGTGTCAGAGACAAGTATAGAAAAATATTATATTACCAGAAGAGAATAGGTCTTAACGAAAAAATATAAATATCTGAAAAAACTAAGAATCGAGAGATAGAAACAAACATAATAAAAATGAGACTGTCTAAAACTATAGAGAATTAGGATTTAAAGACGACCAATATACATGAGAATTTTCTTTCTCAGCAAGCTGATGTAACAGTGCACTTTCTCAACACAACCATGAAATGAGAGTTATTAAGGATATGTTGCGTGGATGCCTCATATCACGTTTCTATCACGTGCCGTGGTCCCCAAAGTCATCGGAATCAACCCCCTGGTACTTCTTCCTATGGCTGTCAAGAGAACGTGTCAAGATTCAAAAACTTGCACTGTAATGGAGTTGAGGGGATGCCATTACAGTAAAAGTGCATTAAAAAGAACGGACTTGTTGGCCTGCGGTATTGAAGGGCACATTAGTACAAATTGTGAGTGACGTTCCAGTGTAGAAGACTGCGATGAAGGGTGAGAAGGTGGTTCCAGAAATCAGGAAAACACTTCTTCGTCAGTGTAGGAAGCCAATGATTTTTAAGTCCCTTAGAGGTGATCTGTATCAGAAAGAACTTTATTGCCTTCCACGTCAAGTAATGTTATTTGACCATCAACGTCATTATTACGCCTTATGTCGAGGTTTCTACAGACCTTATGTGCAAGAGCATAATGTTGATAAGAAATGGGAAATGTCGCGTGGAAGGATAGGAAACAGACAACGACCTGGATAACAAGAAATTTCCAGTTCGGGTCAAGCGCCGATCAATGGGATTCGTTTTGCCTGCTAGACGGCTTGATCATTCGTAAATGCAAGAGTAGAATTTGTGTCCAAGGTATGAAAAAACTGATAAGGTTACTGGGAATAAGATGAATGAGAACGACTCTAGACTCTACTTTATCTACAGTTAGACGAAAAGGTCGAAAGGCACAAACGGACTATCAATCAACCTCTCGATGTTTGTAGAAAGACACCAGCGAGACTGGGATAAACTGGTGCCCTTTTTCGTTTTGGTTTATAAAAGTTTTCAGCATGAATCCACTGACCAATTCTGTTTGCTGGAAGAGAAATCAACCTTCGTCTTTCGAGGTGGGGTACAGATGTACCCCAGAAAACAGTTTTTCTAGCATATTTTCCCAAAAAGTGCATATTTTTTGTGACTAATTTTATTTTGTGTCGGTAAGGGCTTTGCACATAAGTAGTGATCATCAAACATTTTCTATTTATTTATTTTTCAGAAATGATAATTTTTGCATAGCGTGGGGCACATGTACCCAATGACGTAACGTACCCCACGTGAGAATCTGTGGGTGTGGCTACTCTATCAAGTAGTTACCTTGCAGGAAATTTGCAGGTGGGAAATAGATTTCTAAACTGCAAAATTTAGAAATCACGATAATAGAGCTGGTCGAAATATCTGTGGAGCAGGAAGAGAACGAAAGTTTACGGGAAGTAGAAGGCGGAAATTTGTTATAGGTTGATTTTATGTATTATAACTGTTTAGTATAAATAGAAACATGTTTAATAATCAGAAGTATCATTTTTATCATGGAGTACAAATATACCCCACGTGGGAATCTACCTAATTTTTTTTTGTCGTGGGAAGGCGAAGGTTAACCTTATTCCTGGTTTTTGAAATAATTGGGAAACGGTCAAGTTTAATTGTTTATTTGACTTTTTAACAATACCGGGCTTTCGGAGCTATTTTTCTCCTTCGTCAGGGCTACTATAAAAATTGTAAGATGTATAAAATGTAGGCACATATAAATTCTGAAATAAAAAAATAATAATAAAAAATGTGTACAATTATTTTACAAATTTATACTTTACCTTGTCGTTAGTTTATTAACTATAGATGTTCTTTTTTTCAATCATCAGATAATTGAGTATATAAATATTAAAATAATAAAATCATCTAATGTTTGGCAGACCACCAGCTGATAAAGACGCGTATGCTCTTCAACTCTTGATGTTGGTGATCTCCAGGACGGACTTCAGGGTCAGAAAAATTTCGCCAGAAGTAAACCAGCGTCTGAGCCGTGATAGAATAAAAATGATTGTCGGTGAACGGCAGTGATAGAATGAAAGAATAGACTATTGGTCCGGAATTGCAAACACCGTGAGATCATA